TCTCTCTCTCTCTCTCTCTCTCTCTGTCTCTGTCTCTCTCTCGATCTCCCTCTCTCTCAGAAAACTACTTACAAAATATATTTTTTAGAGTAATTTTGGTTTGCAGCAGTAGCCTTTTTATAAAGACTCAAACCTTGCTTTGCATCACTTGGAGAGTAGAACTAAAGTGTCTTATGTTTGTGAGTATGAGGGAGGGGTGTCACGGTGTGTGTACATTTGTGAGTTGTTGCAAGGGCGGGGGGGTTACATACACATGCACTGTCAACACTAGATTCTAGCTGCTGTTGCTGTGGCCTTTTCTCTTTCATTTCGCACTGACTCCACGATTATTGCATGCACATATGTTCTGTGTGAAGGCTAATCAAAATATTTGTCGGGAGGAGCTGCCACATAATTATTATAATACTGGAATTGATACATGTCATGTCTAGCCTATAATGTTGACTTTGAACTCAAAATCACTGCTGCGTTGAAAATGAAGGTTGCATTTTGAACATTTTCGCAAGAGATTTTAAAAAAAAAGTGATGCGTTAATTGAACTTTTTTTAGTTAGACTCTGCGAGTGAGAGGTTTCAACTAGATTCTAAATCTAAATGTACACTTTAGGCCTAGATCCTAGATTAGATCTAGATCTAGACAAATTCTAAATTCTGACTTCTAGATCTAGAAAGTTTTTAATTTATAGCCCCTAGGGCCTACTACAATCTAGAGTCTAGAATCTAGATGTAGATCTAGAAAGTTGAATCTAATCCGGCGATTGTCAAGATTTCCGCGTTTAATTCCGATGTGCGTTTTTCATAGCCTCAGGTATGTTTCGCTTTGGTCCCTAACCCTAACCCTAACCCTGGTCAGGGTTAGGGTTAGGGTTAGGGTCAGGGTTAGGGTCAGGGACCAAAGCGAAACACACCTGAGGCTATGAAAAACGCACATCGGAATTAAACGCGGAAATCTTGACAATCGCCGATAATCCCCCTCATCTCAGTTCATCTGTGAATCCTGTGACTGTGAAGCATCAAGGATTTTTAATTAAAAATCAAAGGTCCTACTTTAAAGTTAAAGTAAAGAGTTAATTTGCGGCGAACAGCAAAATAATCTAGCTATTTCGATAAAGGTTTGTCATCTCAACTGCAAATTACAATGACGATTGTTACCGCTGGCAATGTAATCAAGTGTAGGCCTAGATGTTTATCTTGTTCTATCGCTCCGAGGTGCCACGACAATCCAGCGTCTGCCAACATTCACGGTGGGTGACCTTATTCTTGGGTCATGAGAAAGTTCAGGGAAATCCCCGTTAGAAAATAGACTTGACTACAACGTCATCAAAACAAGAGCTCCTGTTCTGCTCCCAGGATGCATCAAAATCTATAAATAGCCTTACCACGTGGTCAATGATATCATCGAAAACCAATCAGAACTCGAGAAAATGCTGTCATGATCTAAATTTAACAAAGTGACTCATCCAATATATAGGCAGTCGATCACAACTCTTTATCATTGGGAGCTGTGATCTGCACAGGACCTCTCAACGTTGTGACTAACAGCTTCGGCTTTTGAGCGGAACGCCGCCGAGTCGTCAGTGACTCATTTTATTTTGAACGAAGAGGCGAGTCAGTTTTGACGCGCGTTGTGATAACCTTCAATCTGGATTTACGTACACCATCTTCCAAATCCAGGATGGAGCCATCGCTTTATTCTGATGCTGATGGTCCAGACTCCGAAGTCAAGAAATTGAAAAGGAGCATGACTCTGGACTTTAATTCGAGTTCTTCAACGAAACAGAAAAAACTAGCTGCTGTGTTAGCATCGCCGGACCTGAATATGCTCAAGCTCGCCTCTCCAGAATTGGAGAAAATGATCATTCAGGCTAACGGAATGGTAACGACAACGCCCACGCCGACCCAGTTCATCTTCCCCAAATTTGTGACCGAGGAACAAGAAGCCTACGCCAGGGGCTTTGTGGATGCCTTAGCTAAGCTGCAAAACAATTCAACAAGGGTTTTGAACCCAAATCGTCCGCAGGATTTGGATCGTACTTTTACAACTTTGACGGTGCCATCTGCCCTGTCCCAAAGTGCTACTGTGCCATCATCAGCAGTTGCTGTACCGTTAACAAGCGAAGTTGCAACGACGACTACATTGCCCGGGGGACCTGCCAGCCGAGTGCCAGCACGGTCTACCGTAAGTCCCCCAAAAACCGTTCTTCCTACGTCGGTCTCGAACATACCGACCACGGCCGATAGCTCTGATGTGCGGTTACCACAAATCAAAGACGAACCACAAACTGTCCCTTGTCTCAGTTCATCACCACCTCTTTCCCCCATCAATATGGAATCTCAGGAGAAAATAAAGTTGGAACGGAAACGAGCTCGTAATCGCGTTGCAGCTAGAAAGTGTCGTACTCGAAAGCTCGAAAGAATTGCACGGTTAGAGGACCGTGTAAAAGAACTGAAAGGACAAAATAGTGATTTGGTTACCACAGCAACAAACTTGCGAGATCAAGTCATGAAACTAAAACAGCAAATTGTGGAACATGTGAACAGTGGTTGTCAAATTATGATGGCACAGAACATTTCATTCTAGATCTAGGTTTAGAAAATGTAAAATACAACATCGGATAATTGGTTCTATTAGAATGTTTGCCATATCTTTCATGCATACTTTGTATATTTCTCATTTCCATGAATGCTTCCAGTGTGATTGCTTGTGATGAGGCACCTTGATGCAAATCATTTTCATACAATAATGAGTATTCTGATGCAAGTTTTCATTACTTTTCAGAGGCATCTTACATATTCTGCAAAAGTGGCATAATAACATTGGGTTTTGCTTATTTTTATATTTTTTTAATTTAAAAGAATTATCGATGTTATTATAGAAAAGGTCCAAATCCTGTTACATGTCAGATTTCATGTCTGTTCCATGTTATATTAACCCTATCCGTACGTCCTACTATCGTATCCGTACGAAATGGGGAACTCTGTGCCACCACTCTCCAAAGAGGAAATTTACTCGATAATCTGATCCGTACGCTATTCTTAACAGTCTGTCAAATGATTTTTTGAGAAATACTGAAAGTTTTAAAGAGATCTTTGTACGAGAAATATGCTAAAATGGGAAAAATACAACCCAGAGGGTACAAAATGACCCCAGGGCGTACGGATAAGGTTACGGTTTAAACACTGCTCTGTTCATGTTATAAAATACAAATTGCTTCCATTCTCCTTTCCCAATAATACTGCGCATGCGCACCCCAATAAACTAATGGTTTTCGACAGTTTTTAGTGCCAAAATCGTTCTCAGCACACTAAAAACGGTAAAGTAGAGCTGAAAAATAGTCTATAGTGGGTTTGGACCTTTTGTATAAAACCGATTTATAATCCATCTTTCATCACAGGGACAAATGGTGGTTGCCCATTACAAATTTGCACCAGTGAACGTCTGTTATTATCTAAATCTGAAGGTGTGCAGGCTTGTCACAGAAACTATTCCTTTAAATATTCACATCTAATGTCTGAGAAAGAAACTGTTTAGAAAGGGCTGTCTGTACTGCTAAAATATCTAATCTATCACACACGCAGATTTATTTTCACATCTCAAATTTTTCCTTCAGTGTATCTTTTTTTTATTCATGACACGTACATTGCCAAACCTGTTGGCTACACGGAACATAACTATACCGCAGTGATAAAGAAAATGCTGAGCCGATCAGTCAGCTCATTGTTGTAAATGAGTTATTATCTAGCTGTTTAAAACAAGTGAGAAAAGGTCCATCTGTCACCACTTTTCGACCTTGATGTCATGAAGACAAATTGAAGAAGTGACATTCTTTGTGCTGTCGACAGGATTGGTGTTCCCAAGCCTACGGGAAATGTATTCCATGTCAAAGGCATACTCTTTATTTCCAGTGAGTTGTCATCTTAAAATAACACTATTAACACTTCGCCATCACAAGTAAAAGCCCTTGCCATCAAAGGCATACTCTTTATTTCCAGTGAGTTGTCATCTTAAAATAACACTTCGCCATCACAAGTAAAAACCCTTGCCATCAAAGGCAAAAAGGCATTTTGGAGAAAATCCAAAGAAACTGGATGATAAACATTGCCGATCAACGAGATGTGACGGCAAAGTGTTAAAACCAAAGTAATATTACTTTTTGTTTTAAAGGTTGTTTATTTTTCAGGAGAAAGTATTGTGTATAGACAAATTTGTTTTCATTAATCACGGAAACTAAACGTTTTTTTGTGAGTGTTTGCCATCCATGAATTGCCCCAATTGAGGGTATTCAAGTTGAATCGACTCTTTCTGTATTGCCCATCGGCAATTCCAGAGTTCCAGCCTATCAATGTAGGCTTGTTCACTAGTAGTAGTAGGCCTACATGTATTAGAATAAGTTTTATTTTAGGGAGTTTTAACTATTTATCCATGATGTTTTGGTGATGGATGGTCATGGGAGGAGTGATGTTAAAACAAGGATTAAAATATTTGTAGTTCCTGAATTGAGTGGTCAAATTCAGGCTATATATAACTTTCTCGGGCTTATTTTTCTTTAATTTGATTGTGAGTGGCATGAGCGGGATTTGTCATTGTTTTTTTCTGTAGTCAAATGAAGCGGAACACTTGTTTGAAGTCAATTTTTTTACGTGGAACCACAGTCAATTAAATTAATGGAGAAGCTCATTTACTGTTTATTCATGTAGGCCTACTGTAGATTGGATATTATTATTAGTCGGCTGCTGTTGCAGTTGAATGGTTTAAAATGCTTGTTTATTGTTAGGTAACGGTAACGTTTTTGCGTTAGGAAAACAGGTGAATTATTTGATGTGTTCTTTCTTTTTGTTTTTATAAAGTTTTTGGACTATCTTCTAAAACTATTACATACTACAGTATTGGACTATGGTTTACTTTTTTAATGTCATGTGTTTTACATTATACCCGACGTAATATAATTGGCTGTCCTCTGCTTTTGTAAAGTACGGTAACAAGGAGAAAAACCACAGAAATTGCCTCAATTTGTTTAGCTGTTTTTGACCTCACTGTGGTCCCATCTTCCAGACACACAACACACATTTATACATGTATTATAATTATATTATAGTTCGTGAGTGATACTTTCCAGTTAATCTGTCAGATTTATTTTAATATTGTATCTTTTCTTTCTCTGGCAGGCCTACACTACTACCACTTGTACTATGCAGGTGGTTGGAGGGTGACGCTGGTGGGTCCTACTTCTTTTCTGTTCTTTCACTCTATAGTTTCTGTCTGTCTTGCTTCTTCCCTGCACTCTATGACCGTTATTGTGTCGATGTGCTTCTTTTCTACTCGAACTCAAACCACTTGTCAGACTTCCAACTTTTTTGGTGCTTTTCAGGGATTCTTTTAATGTGAAGACCTTTTAACTTCTAGCCTACTATGCGAATGATAATAGATTAATGTCGGAGTATGTTTTAATGTCATTTTTTTTCATAATATGTAATATGCATCATGAGAAAAATGAGAATCTTGTATCACTTTATTTGATTATTTATGATCATGCTGTTTTCCTCATTTGTGATATAATGTTCAATATATATATGAGAACTCCGCATAACTGAATTATATTTTATTGTTGATGCTGAAACTGAATACATCTTTAGTAATATAATGCAATACTCGGTGTTTGAAAACTGAATTCTGTTGGGAGTGTTTGTTTCTGTACCCTCTGTTGAGTCTTGTCAGAACTTCTGTGTTTACTGTCCTCTAGACACCACAATGCCATACGGCTATTTAGTATGGAAGTGGAAGGAACAGTATCATGTGTTGAAATTGAGAGGCATTGTGCCTCCATTTTCTGCATGCGTGTAGCTGTTTTGTGAACACGAGGCTTGGGTTGCTGCTGATAGGAGGGAAAAGGCAAAGTTGCTCGTCCTAAACGTTGAAATGCAGTTCAGGTTTTAGAAGCAGATACATGTACAGTGAAGATCTGTGTATTTATTATCACTGGCCCAACCAAGGAAAATGAGTGACTCATGGGACTTTTACTCACTTTTTCTGATGACAGCAGTGATGTAAATTCACTGTTGGCCTACCATTGGTGTTATATTTTCTCCTCTGGCATTCCTCTTTACTTCCCAGGCAACTGCCGATATTATATCTTCATGAAAGTGGTAGTTTTGTACCTTTTCTAGGATGGGGCCTATTAAGTTTCGTTTTCAGTGCAGCAATCAAAGCCTCGTTTTAACATTGATTAGTGGGTTGTTGGCAGGTGCTTTGGTGTGATTTGCTTCTTCTTTCCTATCAAACATTCTATTGTCTTATTTCCCCTCCTTTTTTTGTGTTTGTTGCTCTCTTGTAGCACCTCTAATCTTCGGCACTTATAATATGACCTTATTGTGTTGCAAGTGCCCTAAAACACTTACTAAACTAAAACTAACATTGATTATCACTGTTTATTTTTGGACTTGGTAATTTGTTCCACTATTCTATAGACTATAATATAGTAGATAAAATGTATAAAAAGCAGCCTCAAACGAAGAAAAGGTTCTGTTGGGGTCAATAGTTGTACGTACATGTATAAAATTAGTTGAGAGCTGCGGAATAGATGTTTTATACTGTTTGGAGATGTTATCACCATTGTGTGGAGATCCCCGCCAAACTGGTGCCTGTGGTGTAATGGTTAAACACTTTGCAGTTGCACACAGATGTGAGTGTGATTGCCTCTTGGGGGGGGGGGGGGGTTATTATATTGAGTATATGTATCTCTATCTGTCCAGTGGGATGTCATATATCCCTCTCTACTGTCTACCCAGGTTGGGCTTGACAATAGTGACAGTGACAGACAGGATCGAAGCAGCCCGTGTCCTTATGATATAAGTAAGTCATGTTGAAATGAATGGGCATTATAAACATAGTCACCCCACCAATCGAGGTATGAGCATTGTTTTTAGAGTTAAAAACAACCATTCACCACACCACAGATTGAAGACAAGTTAGTATTGCTTGAAATTGAAAATGAAACGCAAAAGATTAAGTTTTAATTCATGCAAATGAGGCAAAAGTGTGATATAGCAATACCTGATCTGTTGTTGGACTGCATTTATTACCTTAGATTGTTTATGTAGGTCAGTGACTTGTCATTTGCATTGTCATGCATAATTTCTGTCAGGTCAGTGAAGACCCTGAACTAAAATGCAGATGACACAGGATGGAGTCCCTGCAGCCTAGATCAACTAGATGTATTCATTCACATTACACACGTAGGGTACTTGAGTTAGCTTTCCAGTCCTGCCCTGTGTACCACCAGTGGCCTGCCCTGTGTACCACCAGTGGCAGACATTAATTAATCTACTTCAACTAGTTCAACTTCAATTATAAATTAATAGGTAGGTATTGGACAGGACCTAACCATAATGAAAACGATGAGTAGGTCTTTTGTGAATCTGACTCTGACTTTGATTTATGATACTACATATTTTAATAATATACATGTATGTCATCTAATAAACCATTCAGGCAACCTGCACTGCCAAGGCTAGTTTACTAGTTGGTAGCACACAATGATATGAAGCAAAAGCTGGAAAAAAATTGATGTGACATTTTTAGATCA